AAAAAAAATCTAATGCATTCAAAGAATAAAATTAAGTTGTTTGAATCAACTAAAATTTTTGTAAAATTATTTTGAAATTTTCTAATATTTAATAAGTAAAATATAAAAAATTTCAATTGTTAAAATTAAAGAATAGCTCCATAATTATAAGAAAAATAGGAAATCGATTCCTGCCCTGCAAATGACCTATCATAATTAAGCCATAGTCAAATCCACGAGGGTATGACCAAGAGGTTTGAGATTTTTCTAAATGCCCCAAGTATTTAAAATAATTATAGTATGCAATATTTAATTTACAAATTTAAAATATTTGATAAAAATGGATGAAATTAGTGTTTGCATTAGGGTAATCTTAAGAGGTACCTTGGATTAAAATTTCATTTAGATTAGTTGAAGGAAATTTTTTTTGAGAAATAGTGAGAAGAAAACTCTAATAAATTATTAGCTAAATAGGCCATATAAATGAATGATAAGCCAGCCAGACTCAAATTGAGCTACTGATGTGCAAATGGATGGCTTTTATTTGTTATCCCTTGCTTAAGTTGTATATTGATCTCGTATAAATATGAGCCAATTTCTTCTTATTCATCACCTTAAATTGAGTAAACTCTATTGGAGCATCTTTAGAGTGTTTTGATAGTCTCAACCCAAAATCAAAATACTTCTTTTACAAATTAGGGTTTATAATAGTCACCCTCCTCAATTTAAAGACTAATGTCAATTAGATCGCATGTCTTTGAGAAGTGTGCTGGAGCAAATTAAAGTTCTATTGAATTCCATTAAAGTGACCTGGTTGTCTCTAATTATCAAAGCTCATACCTGATTTGAGGCTTCTTGGTGACTGGAACTTGCTTAAGCACTTGAGTTATTATTGTGGAGGTTTGAAGACCTCTTTTTGTTTAAGGAAGGTGAAAGATAGGAATGAGGAGTTCTCCCGTAAGGTTTTGTATTAGTTACCTAAACAGAACCTTAAATTCGTATTTAATTTCTAGTGTAAGCAACCAATTGGCTTACGCTTCATTAGGTAGATAACGACAATGATTTGGGAGACATTCTCAATAGCCAAGGATAGTCCTTGACTTAGAATTTGGTCAATCATTTTAGAATGACCTAATCACCTATTAAGTCATACTTAATCATAAGATTAGGCCATGGTTAATGGCTAAACTTGGTTTAGGATAGGAATCATCACCAAAAATAAATTTAATTAGCCAACTAGGACTGGAAATGAGTTTGGGCTAATGAAAACTCAAATTGATCAATTTTGATTAACATGGGCTAATTGGCCTAGTTGCGGTAGGACAATGGGTCAACTGAAGTGCAGTTGTTAATTAGAACCTATTGGATAGGTTGGATTGATCTAATTTAGCAATTTGATCAAACTAGCTCAATTAGACCAAAAGGATTAAGTGTCTATTCAACTTAGGTCAGGTGGACCAGTAGCTTAATTGGGTCAAATTAATGGTGAAAGTTATTAAATTAGAATGGTGAATTCATTCAAAAGAGTTTGGTTGTAAAATATCTAGTCAAATGCGAGTTTAAATTCAATTGTGTTAAGTTGTGTCCATAAGGGTTCAATTAAGCTAAGTTGGGTCAATTAAGTTTATGAATTTCACTAGATACAATAGAAGTTATTAATTTTTTTATGATTTACACTATATAGAAATTGGATATTTTTATTTAAACACATTGTCAATAAAACCATTGAGAATGGAAATATATATGTGAGTGGGTAATAGTTGGTCGCTATTGCTTTTATTATTGCTATTTTTTATTATAATATATATGTAAAAGATAAGTAAATACTGGTTGACGAGTTGGTTGAAGATTGATCGATCTATATAGGATGGTGGGTTGACGAACTTTTCTTTAAATACTATGGTTAGGTGTCATCCTCTACTGTTACATCGATATATGGATACAATAATTGGGAGTTATAAGGAGTTATTACTGTGCTGATTGATAAAAAGTAATAATTATATTTGCTAAGCCAATAGTTGTTGAGTATTGATTATCGACTATTAAAAAATATCATGATAGCAAAAACTTCTTGTTTAAGTGTGACGACCAAAATACATATTACATATTCATTATTATTATACGGCTTTACTGATACTATATTGATTTACTATCATTGCACATATTTATTGTTAATGCATTACTTTACTATTACTACCACCTATTTTAGTGATGATACTACATTGATGCTATTTCTGATATACACATCAATTATATTTAATACTACGAGTGATTTTACTATTACTATTATTATTATTGATTCAATGTACTAATATTGAGCATATGATATACTAAACATGTGATATACTGATCACGTGATTAATATATTGATTTGATACGTATATAAATAATTAGATAGAATGTGTACATCATTATAAAGTTTTATTGCATTGATATGATTTATTTACTGATTGATAGCACTGATATGACAGCTATTTTATTGATTCGACACCCATACTATTTTATTGGCTTCCATATCATACTATTTTATTGTTTATATATTCTGCTACTATTACATGTGAGCTTTACTATTTCTGCATAAATTTATGATCTTTGTTATGACTTGATTGCGGACATGAATATTTCTCCTTTATTATCCTTTGAGTTTAGTTGTAGGATTTGGTTGCTTGTTGGCTCTTGAGCTTATTATATGTGATTATATGATTCTTGAGTATTATATATTATTTATTTTTTTGTCAATGAATATATATGTGTTGATGTTTTGAATTATAGAATTTATTTTCACTATTTATTACTAATAGATGAAATTAGATTGTTATGATTGATGTCTAATAAAAGATAAAAATACATTCTTCCAAATTAGATTATGGGTCGTGGAACATACCCCTTCTTTTGATTGGGCTCACATTACTATTAAGGTGATCGAGGTGAGAAATTATGTTTTCTTTGCTGCTTGTATTGAATGAGATGGCTAGGTTGTACCTTATTAAACATTCCAATGCCTTCCACAAGATTGTTTTAACTACTTCCAAAGGACTCTGATGGATTTTTTTGTGATACTTTATGCCTAAATATGGTGGATAAGGAATGTATATCATATTAATGATAGATAAAAAGTATTGTGAGGAGTTTTTTGATGAAAATCCATCATAACATATTAAGATTTCACTCCAAAATTTGGTGAGCATCAATTAATATCTATAAAATAGGTAATCCCCTAATTTTGGTGAATTTGAAAGATGAGGGAAGAGTTCGTGATGGTCCTTAAATTTGTTGGTGATTTTATAAAGCATAGCTAGTTCAATAAAGGTGTGGACAATTCTAATTAAGAAAGAGCATGACTAGGTATGGGATTGACCATTAAGGGTAGTAGGGATGACCATATCAAAGGTGTGCATCAGAGGTCCATAACATGCATATGATATTCTTTGATGATCGATGTGCTCATAAGTCAACTAACCTCTTATAGAAGACTATAAACTACAGCTTGATCTATTAAAATGGGTTGAGGATCAATAAGCAATGAAGACTCTTTGAAAAATATGGAGGTAAGGAAGCCCACAACTCATCTCGAAGCTCATTATGAGGGGTGTTATTGTGATAAGGTTAGGTCAAGTGCACAGTGGTTACTAAAGTATTAGGGTCAAGTAAGCTGCATGGGATGGATGAGTGGAATTGGTGTTGTTCAGAAAGTTATTATCAGGCTATAATGGAGGAAAGATTACCAAGAGACATGCAATTAATCTCATGGGAGTTGAGCTTGATTATGCATCAAAGAAATTGATTATTGAGTCTCATATAAGAGCTAAAGCATCTTATTTTGAGAATCCTATATTCTATGAGCATGCTTATCTAAGGATGGGCTTTAAGAACCTTCACTGGCAGAAGTTGCAATTGACAAGAAATAAAAGGGTTGATGCACATTCCCAATTAAAGAACTAGCTCCTAGAATAATGAGAATTAGAAAATAATGCTCTATTATCATCAGTGTTATGCTTGGTTAGCCATTGGGTAGGAGTTCAAAGAACCAACAATGGTGATATTATCTCCCATATATAATGTTAAACTGTAGAATACTAAAATAATAATAATGATAGATGAAGAGTTTATTATCTTAATGACAAACAAAGCCCTACAACACATAAATAATTATATTGTGGCTCACAATAGACACAATATTTTTACGTGAAAAATCCTGAAAGGAAAAAAAAAGTAATAGTCTAGTCCAAAAAAATTATTATATTATATGAGTAGAGAATTATAACAATTCTCCATTCTGTGTTGTAGATAATGTTGGATTACAAGACTTAAATTATTAAAGGAGTCTCTTGAAAGGATTATGGGAAATATTATAAAATGGAGAAATTTGATGGACATCAATGTCAATCAATGACGGGCCGCAACGAATTGTTGAAAGTGATTGTCATTTTAAAACAAAAGGTGAATGCTGATGTCAGTCAATGCCAAGCATTGGTGATGGGTACCATTGTGTTGGTGATGACATTGATGAAGATCAATTGCAAGTTAAATGATGGTCGGTAATGAACGATAATGCTTGCCGACATGCATCAACTCTAGGCATCAACAACAATTAATGGCTAACATTGTCGATTATGGAATTCTTGAATTTTCTGGAGGATCAACTTAATTGCTTTGGAACTCTCTTCATTAGTTAAAATAGAACTTATTTATCGATTTCTAGAGGATACATCATGATCATTTCTAATAAGATTTAGAACACTTTATTAGACGATCTAAATCAATCGCTAATTATATAATATTTTTTAATGTCACAATGTCTTAATGACATCAAAATTTGATGATCATATGCTCTTTAGATTCATTTCCTTGAAATATTAATTTTAATTAATGCATGATTCATAAAATATTTAACCTTTCAAATAGTACTGAGAAACTACTAACTACACTGTAGAATGATTTACAAATAAAAAATTCCATTAATATTAATATTTTATCATATAAACTTTCTTGAATTTCGGATTCAGTTGAACAGAATTTATTCGAGCGTCTTTTCTTTCGGGGAGATCCGTAACGGTAGGGTGGAACAAACCCGGCACTGCCGCCATGTAGCTAAACGGCCCGAACTCCTCGGGCCACTGGCCCATTGACCCCCTCCTTCTGAAACCCCGCGCGCCATTGTGGCTGCTTATAAGTTCGAAGGAAAATTGCAAGCAAGAGTTCATTAGTCGTGATCGCCTTCTGCCGATAGAGTTGCGCTCGAGATCATCAGTGAAAAAATTCCTACTTCGCCTGCGGTGCCCTCCATTCTTTGGTTCGCCCGAGAAGATGTCGTCGCTAGGCGCTCCTCCGCCGTCGAAGGCAAATCTTCTATTCACCACTATAGTTTTGTTTTCATTCTTTTAGTAAACCATATTCCGTAGGATCATCGATTGGTTGATAGGGTTAGGGCTTTCTGTCTAAATTCTCTATTACGGGCTTCTTCACTCCATCCAGCTTTGGAGAGTTTCTTCTTCATAACCAATCAGGGTTTCATTGGAATTTATTACAATTAGCATTGCTTCTGCAGAGAAGGAAGATAAGCAAGGCTGAAAATTCCGTGTGTAACAAGAAAGAATTGAAGCGTCCGTTCTGGAAAATCGATGATGGGAAGGTTTTTTCTGATCGCGTGCATTATTTGGACTATTAAGTTTCATTTTTTGAAACTATTGTCAAAATGTGTTTGTATAAATTATTTTTATTTGTTCAGAGTATGCTAATTAGAATGAGTTTCAGGTTCTTGAAGCAGCAAGAGGAGGATCGCAGGATGTGAATGTGCCGTTTTATAGAGCAAATGAAGTGACTTTACCAGACAAGAAAGTCAGGAAAATTGAAAAAGTGGGAAATTACTTCTGAATCTCGCTTTTGGATTCCTTTAAGCTTGATGTGTTGATATTTGTACAGTATGGGTGACTTATTTTCTTTTGACTTGCACTATCAAAAAGTTGGTTTTTAAAGCTTATTGATCATGTACCTCTGCGCATATGAACTCCACTTCAGATTTCGGTCTCATCTGTCAAATATCTATGATGTATAAAATTTTCTCATTGTAAAGACTTTTTTTTTTCATTCTTGAACCTGGATAACGTGTAAGAAAAGCTTTATTTTTTATGAATTAGCTTTTTTAGACAAATGTTGAAACCTATATCCATTGCCCATTCACTTATAAAAAGTGAAAATAATAAAACAAAATGGAAATTGGTGACTCTCCATCTATTATGTATGTTTCCTGCACAGCCTAATTTAAGTATGATGCTTCATTAACTTATAATGAAGTTGATATGCATCTTGATTTAATACCGGGGACCTCATTTTTTGGCATGGTATTCATGTGCCATACTATGTTTGCATTAATCTCATACCAAAAAATTTTGGTGGAATGTTTAACTTGTTAGGAGGGTGGATCATTGATGGCCTAGGTTATATTTTATATATTAGTAATTAATCACACATCAACCGAGAAGCTTAAGATAATGGGTAAAAGTCACAACTAGTATATTAGCTACTCAACTTATGTTTTTTCTCTTGATCTGGGACTATTTTCACCCTCATATGTACGTTAACAATATCTCCCTTTTATGAGAGCCCTTCACATGGGCTATTATTCCCCTAAACTAATAGCTTTTTGGTACCATCAAGTGTTAACGTGAAGCCTAAATGAGAGTCACTTGCTCTTGTATGTTGTTTAACCATGGTAGAAGTTACAAAAATTCATGATTGCAAACCTCATAGAATGCATGATCCTTGCTAGATCACAAGCTCTCGGTTAGGTTTGTCAATTTGGGTTGGTTGGTCGGGCAACCCAAATTTGACCCTACTTGATATGCTTGACTCGAACTGAGCCCATTTATCATATATATCAAAATTCTTGACCCAAACCCACAAAATTGAAATCTGAACCATTTTTTATATTGATTATGTAAGTTATTTTTAGATCAACATGCTAGTTTCATCAAATATGGCCTATTTTGACCCATCAAAGCCAAACCTAGCTAGTTTAACTTGCATTCAAATGATAATCACGTCAGTTTTGGGGTTTTATGTCAACATTAATTGGATCCATATTTTAAACCCAAATACAACTCGAATTACCCTCGTAAATTTGGATTTTTCGAGTCGAGATTGGGTCAGTTTGTCAGACCAGGTCTTTTATTGGCAGACCTATGGTGTGCATTATTAGGAGGGCAGATCACCGATGACCCAAATTTAACCCAATATATCTATGGATGGACACATCAACCAAAAAAAAAAAGTTAATAGAAAGTTCAACTTCTACTGCCACTTTTGATGCAACTATATTTACAGTTTCAGTAGAGTAGATGTATTAGATTTGACTTATGTTAAGAAAGGTAGGGGTAGACTTATAACTTTATTAGAAAATATTAGAAATAACATTTTTTTATTAAATTCAAATGAGAATTTGATTCTTAATTGGACACAATGGAGAAAAAGGATTCATGTAGCTGACCTCATGTAATGCGATAAGGCCTGATGTTGTAAGTTCTATTGTGAATTATCTTTTAAAAAATCAGAAGTGCGGGCTGGTTGCAATAGTATGCCCATCATCATATGCTCAACAATTGGTTGGAAATTTCCACATTTGGCCTTCATGAATCCAAATTACATGGTATCCATATCAAAATGTAGCCCAAATATCGTTAGAATTATCCACTGCTATATTATTGGCATCCATGTAAGGCTAAGCCAATCAACATGTTTTTCAGATCTTGAAGTTAAGTTTTTCAAAATGTCTGCTTGTATTTACTCATGCACCTCTGCCGTCTCTTCGCCCTGTTTTACTTTTATTCTTTGAATGTATATCATTAATCTTCATCTTTTGCTTTTCACATTTTTTTACTTGTAGTAATCAGATTCTACGATCAGATATAAATGTTTAATCCTCACCACTACATAGTAAAATTTCTTCTTTTGTTCAGTATCAGAGTTTAACAATCTTATTGTTACTGCTGTTGTTTGAATCTTATAGGTTTGGAGCGATCCTAAGCAAGGAGCCACCGGCATGCTGCAAACTTGTCAAAGTTATATAAAGAAAGATAAAGAGGACATGGCTAAAGCAGGCTGTTCATCCCATCATGATTACTCGAAGCACAGAACAAAGCACTCAAGCAACCACTGCTCTTCGTTGAAGACAATAAATCTTAAAGGCAAGTTGCATATTCTACATTTTTTTTTTTCTAATTCTATACAAATACCTGTTATGTGAATGCTTAATCAACCAACGAGGGAATGATTTAAATATGGCATCACTATAAACTATTTGATTTTTTTAGTAGAAGTTGTTTATAGTGATGCCATATTTAAATCATTCCCTCGTTGGTTGATTAAGCATTCACATAACATAGTTTCCTTGTAAGCTCTTTTTTAGATATTAGTAATTTTGCCTAACTGCTTTACGATTAACTCTCCTGCTGTAATTATTTGAGTTTTGGTTTTATAATCTGTGTTAGTCCTGTGATGATGTCTTAATATTTTCAGATCTATTACCCAAAAGTAAATTCCATTCTGTTAGAAAGAGGACTCCATTTTCATACAAAGTTGAGCATAGAAGGACTGGTGCTAGTTTATATTCATCTGATGGGCTTGTTTCGGAATCGAAGTGGGGTGCTGCTGCCAATAGGAGAAAAATTCTTGCTGTACCAATATCTGTGGGAGCAGCTCAAAATGGAACTTCTCCATTAGTCTCTCAAAATTTGGGGAGAGCAGCGACTGAAAGTGAACTTATTCCTGTTTGTGGAGTTAAAAGAAAGGTGAGATTCTATGTCCCATCATCTTCCTATTGGGAATGTGTTTCTTTAACTACTGCGTTATTCCTAATAAAATTTAAACTGGTTTTCATTCGAATTAACTACTTTTTTAAGGGCTCTACGTTGGATGGTGGAGGCTTGGACATAAAAAGAAAAATCACAAAAGCATATGTGAGAAATAAGAACCGGGAACCTTTCTTCAAAGGTACTGTTGCCATCTTTTCACATTGTTCTTGATGTAGAACTATATGCGAAATTGGAGATTTGCACAAAATATTTAAGAGTAATTTCAGATTCCGTTATTAGTGATTTAAAACAACAAAGTAAAACTAATGAACGATCACTTTCGTTTAGGCCAAACTACACAAAATGCTAAGCGGAATCAAAAACACGTAGGAGAATTAAAGTAATGCATGCGGGATAGTTTCCAACATAATCCTTGTTTAACAACGGGATCTAAAAGCAAAGAAGTAACAAATCTTACGAATACTAGTGGATGGCAACAAGTAGACACAATCTCTTGCTTTGAACAAATTCTCATGAAGAATTTGGAATTTGAAAGTAAAAGAATCAAGGAGGAGAAAGAATCACCTTCACGGAGAGACGGCGTAGAGATCCCACGTACCTTCCAATAATTATCCGTCCAAGACTAGATGAATCCTTTCCGAATAAACGTCGTGATGAGCAAGGTTAACTCAAGTGCCGGATGGATCGTCCATCTTCAATCGAAATAGGAGCTACACCTTGAGAGGAGGGTGAAGAGAGGTAGAGAGAGGGACGGTGGAGAGAGGATGGCCGGCGGG